ACATGTTATATCAGTATACAAATTTCATACAATTCTTATTCACACATTTCTTACCTATTTCATACCAAAAGTTATCAATTATTCATACCAGGATCATGCCACTAAAATACCAAAATAATTCCAACTTAGAAATATTAATTGTCATTTCTTTAATAAACAGTATACCAAATTCATTACATTATTATTCTCAAAATTCATTACAATATAATGCCAAAAAAAAATCCAATCAAACCAAATATCGTACCAAAACATTATCAATTGTCATACATGCTTGGTAGTATAAGTATACAAATTCCAAAGAAAAAATTATCTATTTTTTTAACCGAAAATATACCAAAAAAAAATAAAAGGTGTAAGACAAATAATGAACAAATTCAATGTTCATACCAAAATATAACATTATACATTTAAAAAAAAACGCCATAATTCAAATTATTATACACAACAAAAAATCTGAAATCAGTATACAAATTTCATATAATTATTATGCACATTTTTCATACCTATTTCATGTCAAAGTTATACATATTTCGTGACATAAGTCGTCAGTTTTTCACAGCAGAATCATGTCACTATAATACCAAAATAATACCACTTTTTAACTATTAATTGTCATTTATTAGACAAATAGTATACGGAATTCATTCAAATATAATTCTAAAATCGTACCAACATGGTATAACCAATATACCAAATTCAAATAAATTTTATGTAATTTTTTAACCAGAAACATACAAAAAAAAGAAAAGAATGTTCAAACAAAAATCTATACCAATTTCAAACAAATTTTATGTAATTTCAAAAGTGAATATTCATACCAAAAACGCCATAATTAAAATTATTAATTCACAAACAAAAATCTGAATATTTTTTTTCCTAGAATCACTGTTCATAATTTTTTTGAACGTTTGGTTTGTATTACAATACAAATAAAAAATCGCAAAGAACACTAACCTGAAGGATCCCATCTACCACCATGTTCTATTAATACTAATAAGAAGCCATCCAGAAAATAAAGATTATTGAATAAAAACGAATATGAATTAGATGAGAGTGACAAGATTCTAGGAAAAAAATCGAAGAGAGAGAAAACGTGGAAGAAAATGGATGAAATCAGAATTTTTAATTAATTTTAACAAGTTAGAGTGAAATAAGGAAACTAAATATTCTTAATTAGTTTGAATTTCCTTAATTTATTGCTAATTAGTAATTATCTTCAATCAATTTAAATTTAATTAACACACTTATTTCCGTTTTTTACCTTTTTTTTCAGAAACGAATTATTTTATTTTTTATCTTTTATTTTTTTTTCAAAACAAATTTTTACAATTATTTAAAAAAAAAGATTTTTTTTTAAGAAACTGTTACAACCTGAATTTTTTTATTTTTACAACTTGAAAATTTAATTCTACTGCTATAACTTGAAAATATTAGTCTAATATATATATGAAACTTTCACCCTATTTAAGGACCCCAAATCTTCGTAACTTTTGGACCCAAATTTCTTCTTACGGCCCAAATTTTAAAACATTTTCCACAAGTAGCCAACCCAGGTGTAATCTGCCCTTTTTCTTTATATTTTACTTTTCCACCCATGGGGAAAAAAAGATTGGAAATTCCATTCTTCTTATGGTACTTATTATTTTAAAATATTCCAGCTCAAAAATAAGTGTTAATTAATTAATTTAAATAAATTAAATACATGACCCATACTTGTAAGTGACAAAAGTTTAAATTCTTTAATTTTAAAAGCTACATAATGCCTAATGGCAATGGCATGTTATGACTTATGAGAAACACTGTAACATTGATATATACATTACCCATACTTGAGATATAATTTTTTTTAGAAAAAATACATATAAAAAATTGCCCCGGTGGGACCCGTTGTAAACAGATAATCGAATTATGTATAGCTTACTTAACCTCTCCCTGTTATTGGTCAGTTACTTGCCTCTCTCGAAATTTTAATTATGTCATACAAATTAGGACGAAAAAAAAAGTATAATTTCAAAATATCGATCCTTTATAGGGTTTTATGGTGCTTTAAAGTTCATATGCAACTTACACGACAATGAATTGCAACACCCCAAAGATAACGACTGCGGATTTCCCTTGTTAAAAAAAAATAGAAAGAAAAGAAGATTAATACATTAATTGGTTCATGAATACTATATATTATTTAGGAGAAATGGTGTAACAATTATAACATACAAACTCATGTGAATCCTAATGGTAGTAATGGATTTATGTTTTATATTTATTTATTTGGCACTTGGACACAAGACAATGTCATCTCTTTTCGTGTCATTCTGAGTGTGTATATATATATATTCTTAATTAACATTCCGCATCCAATCAAAGCACATTATATGAATCGTTCTTTTCTTGTTAAATGTGATCTAGAGTTCAAGGAGTACTATTTGTGCAGCTCACATTGGTCAAAGGCATTGATTTTGCAAGTAGTTAGGTGTATAGTAATTATGCATGAAATTAAATGGGTCACTACTACTCTTTCCTTCCGTCTCAATTAAATTTTCTCTGAAAAGTATTGTAGTTTTCTAGTCCTTCTATAGAAAGGAACGTGAGTTGCATTTCACCTGGTATTTGTAGACAATAAAATTTTAAAATTTGTTGTAAACAATACTATCGATCTAATATCCATTTTCAATTATTTATGTAACAAACATAATAGAAAGCATAATTAGATTTTGATACACAAATACGTAAATATTTCATAATGTAGAGGTTCAAATCTTTGACTATGAATTTTTTTTATTAGTGGGTATTTTTTTTTAAAAATGAATCTTATGTGACGTTAATTCAAATTAGTCAGGACTCAATGCAAGTATCGAATATCGCCTGGAAAATCAAAGATGAAGTAACAATTTCAGAGAGTATAGTTCAAGAACTAATTTGTACATAATTTATTAAAATACTTATATATTATTGGCCGAAAAATTGATTATGGTAATACCTTACATTATATAATCAAAATTGTGTTCTTGATTATTATTTTTTTGTTGGTTGTTGGGTTTGTGATCAAGATGTACTTTAACCTTTTTATTAAAAAAAAATTGTTGACTAAAATAATTTTATCCTTATATCTAGTTGAACACAAATTTTTCATTACCAAAATCTTCTCTATTATTGCAAATTTCGGGTTATTATATGCAGGTACGTAGCGCATTTGCCATCTATCACATCCACTCTTAACTAATTGATATTAAGATATTGTTGGTGAAATTGAAATATAATAAATGATTATAATAATATATAATCAAACAATGTGACAAGTGTAATTTATTTATTAGTCAGATATAAACACTCTGTGCAGCTAAATTTATCGGTATGGTAATTCATTCACTTACAAATTTATATCTTTGCTTGCTTATACCTAGGGTTGTCATGATTATGGTTAAAAAATCACATCGATGGTAATTCATACACTTACAAATTTATATTTTTGCTTGCTTATACCTAGGGTTGTTCATGATTATGGTTAAAAAATCAAATCGAACCTCAATTCGAACCAAACCGATTAACAAAATCGATATTTGGTTTGGTTAGGTTTGGTTTTATGAAAATTGATACTATTTGTTTTGGTTTTGATTTTACTAAAAAAAACCGCAAAAATAACCAAACAGAACCGAGAAAACATATAGATAAATTTAATAATTATTTATATATTATTCATAAATAAAATATAAATATTTTGTTAAATTTGAATTAACTTAAATCTTTTAACTTTACAATTTTCTCAAGCCCAACACTTAAATTTTTGCCCAACTATTACAATCCTAAGTCCAAGATTCATTACTTTAGTCTTTACCTACCTTACCGCACGTAAGATAGTCACAGTTTTCTTAATTGAATCACTTTGTTCGTACCTCACATAAGATAGTCACACTTTATTTTTTTTCTTAATTAAATCACTTTGTTCGTGTAATAATAACTCTAGTATTGCTTAATTGAATCCACAGTAGCTTTCATATGGATTGTTCATATACTAGGTGTTTGTGTCTATCGAGATACATATTTCTTCAAGAAATTTATTACTTTCAAACTGAAAAAATAAAAAAAATCGAACCAAATCAACAGTTATTTTTTCATTTAGTTTGGTTTGGTTTCAGAAATTTAAAAATCGAAATTGATTTGATTTTAATTTTAACCAATAACTGATCCAAACTGAACCATGCACACCCCTACTTATACATGTTTCTTCATCATGAGTATATATATATATAAGCACTAATAGTGTATAAGTTTTTAATAAAAGCAATTTTCAAAAATGAATAGCATTTGGTAGGCCTCTTATAATAATTGTTCTAGCTGACTAGCTCTAATATATCTTTTGTTTCATTTCTTCTTGAACAATTATAAAGACATTTTTTAATTATGAATTTACTATCATAAATTCAATATAATGCACTTTTATGAATAACAATTTCTAGCCATATCTTGATGAATTTATGCATTGAATAATTTACTTCCACCACAACAGTCTCCTTCGTAGGGCTCTGTGTTATAAGCTCCTCCTCACCCAACCTAATAATAGGTGACAGTGGTCATGGGCCTGAACTTTCATTAAAAGGTTTAAAATTCAAAAAAGTAAATATATGAACTAGTGGAAGGGAGTTCGACATCTACTGTCGAATGGAGTTTGAATGAAACTTTGACCATAAGCTAGCTTTGCCCCTGATAGGTGGGGTTAGGGTCAGGGGTGGAGCTAGGTGAGGTTCATGGGTTCGGACAAACCCAGTAGCTTTTCCGTAGATCCTGTATTTGTACTAGAAAATTAAGTTATAGCTTGTGAATCCCTAACAAATCTGATTGACAACTCAATGATAAGAAAGGGGAAGGAAATTTAGAACCAGCCAAACTCCTAATGCCTCTGATTATTTAGGGTAGGGTACCCTCTTATTTAATTTCCTTCCCTATAAATATATACCTAATATAGTCAACTGCAGTTTACAATATTATCACAAGAAAGAATTAGAACAGAAGAAAAGGAAATGGATCAGAAAATGACACAAAATTGTTGTTTTTTCTCCAAAAGCAGTAGGAGTGTAATTGAGTACTTAGGGGCACTTTCCTCTAATCAATTGGACTCTCTTACTACTCTTTGTGACACTTTTGTACCTTCAATTCATGATGCTAATTCCTATGGTCATCAAGATCAAGGCAATATTGATGATGATGATTCTTACACAAAGTTCCTCCAAACTTCAGCATCCATGAATGGAACTCCTCAACATGTAAGATTTTGTTATATACTTTTCATTAAGTATTATTTTCCATGTTGAGTTAAGAGGCAGAGCTAAAATTTGAATATTATGAGTTCTGAATTATAATAAGATAGTGACATATGGTGTTATACTGAATTTTGGATTTCATGTTTAATTATACATATTTAGTGAATTTCTCAAAGTAATTTAGAGTAAAATTGAGTTCAGCCGAACACATGCATACAAAACCTCTAGCTCCACCACTGAATTAAGAGGTAGCTAGATTTGAACATTATAAGTTCTGAATTCTAATAAGATAGCAACAAATGGAATTATACTGAATTTTGAATTCCATTTTTATACATATTCAGTGAATTTCTTAAAGTAATTTAGTCTAAAGTAATTGAATTCAACCGAACACATGCATACAAACTTGTACCTCCACCGCTGGCTTTTCTTTATATATCGTTGAAGTTTTGGTCCAAGAGGGATAATATCAACCACTTGACGTCCCTTTGACGCATCCGTTATGGTTATCTCATATCCCATTCCTCCTCTCACCGTCCCGCCCTTATAACAACTCTGGAATCCAAATCAGTCTTCCAGGAGTAGTAACCCTTGTAGTAAGACTTTTCAGCCTCATAGACGTACAAAAGTAACTAATAATATGTAGTGAAAATGAAAAAAGAACGGTAAGAATTGAACTCACACCTCCTTAGGGTATGAAAGATTCATATGATTATGAGTACCACTAGATTATATATACTCAATAATAAAGTCATTTTATTTTTCAGATAGCATGGATGATAAACAATAGATTGCAACATCCAAAGATGAACTTGTGCAAATTAGCACTATGGCTATTATCAACAAGGATTGGAACATTTATACTTTGTGGTAAAGCAAGCTTGTCAACCCAATTTCCATATTTACAGACATTTTCTAACATTTCACCAAAGAAAAGAGAAGAAAGTGTCAAATCATGGGCAACAAGTTGTTTCAAACTCCTAAGGATTCTCTTTTTTGCTGCTAAAATTCTGGTTCTCCTTGTATTCTACACTCAGGTATACTACTACCAAATTTAATTCACGTACACTAAACTAGTATATTATTTAATTCACGTACACTAAACTAGTACGTATATATTTAATTTACGTACACTCCCAACATTAATTAATTGTAAAGCTACCCCCTTCTGTGTTTTGTCCATCAGCCTTTTTTTCGCTGCAAGTAATTTAATTTCTCATAATATTCACCTGTCATCTGCATTTACTTTTTCATCTGTTTTCTAACAGAAAAATCCGTACATATATAGCGCACATGCAATTTACGTTTGATGTGTTTTTAAGAAATTATAAATAAGAAAAATATTTTTATTAATATATTCTATGCAGAGGTCTTATTCATCGTTATCAAGTACGTTGTCCCAAATTACTTATAAAAGATGCAAGTTGTAACTAGCCTAGAGTTAAAGAATTTAGGCAATTAATGCACTCTTTTGACTAAATGTGCATATATAAAAAAATTAATAATAAAAGAGCTTTTTTAAAACTTTATAATATTTAAATGTTTTCTGTGGGAGAGGAAACGGTTCAAACATCACGTTTTATAATTTAATCAGAAGAAAATATTGTGATTACAATTCAAGATAATATTAAACTTAATTTAATAGGCGGCCCAATCATAAAGTATTATTTGTAAAATATAATACTTTTATATAATTTAATGACTATTTTTATTAGTATACTTCCTCTCCATCTAATTCAAAATAATTGATATTTTAGATTTGAAAATTTAGATTAAAAGTTCACATACTCCTAAAAAAAAATTAAAAAAAAGCCTTGATCAAGATATTCTTAATTATGATAATTTTTTTCAAAATTATTGAAAAAAAATGAAATACCTTTTAAATTTTATAAAAACAACAATTATTTTTTTTATTAACTTTTAGAAGCTAAACATAAAATAATTTTTGAGTGGGAGAGAGTTCATTTTAGTATTAATGACACATAAATATTTTCATCATTTATTATAGGGACCTTTATTATATAGTTCCAACTTCCATACAAAAGAATTTTGTTGAACGGATAGAGATGTAAGATGTTACGTGATTAAAATAATTACTTGTCGGCTACAATAAATCCTTTTTTAGTTTTTTACAATAATGGCTCCAATCTGGTTCATTTTATTTATTGAATTTTGAATTAATTTTTTATATATATTCAATGAATTCTTTAATTCAAATATAAAATTTGAACTTAAATTATTAGATTCTTTTTCAAAGGTTTTTCCGAAATTAAAAAATAAAAAGATAAATATTTAATTAATGAATTAAGAATATATAGCGATATAAAGTATTTGAAAATAAAATAAAATTAATTAACCAAATAGTAACTAACATATACATTTGAAAGAGAATATTATTGAGCTGACCTGGGACAATAGTAGAAAAAGTTTAGTTATTTTAAATGAACAAAATTAGTTTAATAACTTCATTGCAAAAAGAATTCTTTAACCTATATCATCATTTGAGAAACTAAGTTCTACTTTAGTTTTTTTATCATGTATGTTTCTTATGTTTAAAAAGTTTGATCACATTATAATTTATCTGAAAATATATATCGTATATTTTTTAATTACATATATTTTTTTGATTTGATGTAAAATATCTGTTACCTAATATATATAATGCAACTTGAATTTCTGTCTGTGCATAATACTAGTGGGCAAACATATTGGGCCCTTACATTTACAAACAAACAGTAGTTAGCTCATTAATGTAGCACACTTGACACAGTACATTTCAATTGGAAATTTATTCCAAAGAAGTTCATGGATATGATATTTTTTGTAAAGAAAATATAGAGTGCAAAGATATTATTTGAACTTTGTTGTAAAATAAAACCCCATATATTCACAATATTTGTTTTTAAATTTCATTCTAGAGGAATAATAATGTCACATTACATTTGATGAATAAAGTTATGTTAAAAGCCTAAATATTAGCACGTCTTTAGTAATATGAAGTTGTGTCATATTCTAAAAGGTGATTAGACATGACATGTCGCAACTTCATATTACCAAGGACATGACTCTAGTAAGGAAGGAGTGGATGTCGCGTATTAGGGTAGAATGTTAGTTGGGGTAGAGTGTTGTCTTGCCTTGCAAAGGTGTAGGCTTGTTAGTGTCTATTGTGTACTAGTTGTAATTCTTGTCTAGGTTGTTTATTGTGTTTCTATTATTACACTAATTTGTTGTTGTTATTGTTTTCTTCTTATTGTCCTTGTATTTGATGCACTTCGGAAACAACCTCTCTACCTCCACGAGGTAGGGGTAAGGTCTGCGTATAGTGTGGTGGATCTGTTATGTATATTTGGGTCTGTTGGCAAATTTTGTACTGATGTTATTTGGCAATAAAGAGCTTTGAGCTTAATATTTCGAGAAAAAAAAGGTCTGCGTATACTCTACCATTCCTAGACCCCAATTAGTGAGATTTCACTGGATATGTTATTGTCGTAAAAGCTCATTTTTTTAAAAATGATTAATGTAATGTATATTTCCTTCATCTTTGTTCTTTCTTGAAAGTGAAACTGTTAATTTCTTTTGATTTAGGTAAATGATGAAAGCCAGAATTCATCATGGAAAGCACTTGGCTACTCTGGACCTGATCCAGATTTCAAGAAGCAAAAACAAGAAAACATGAACTCTAATGAAAAGGATGATCAACCATTTGGACCACTTTATGAAGGAATCATAAGTCTAAAGAATTCACAGAAAATAATATTCCATAGGCTGCAAGAACTAGGATTTTCTGTATCAAAACCGCATAATTTCAAGAACGCGAGGAGAAGTACAGAGTGCCCTGCATTCATAATTGAATGTGATGCTGTGGTGGTTGGTTCAGGTTCTGGTGGTGGAGTTATAGCTGGTATTCTTGCAAATGCTGGACACAAAGTGCTTGTCCTAGAAAAAGGAAGTTATCTTGCAAGAACTAATCTTTCACTTCTTGAAGGAACTTCAATGGATCAAATGTACCTTGGAAGTGGACTACTAACAACTCAGGACATGGATATTATGCTACTTGCTGGTTCCACAGTTGGTGGTGGCTCGACGATAAATTGGTCAGCTTCGATTCAAACTCCACAACATGTATTAAAAGAATGGTCTGAAAGCTACAATCTTGAATTGTTTGAAAGTGAACTCTACAAGGAGGCTATGAAGATTGTGTGTGAAAAAATGGGAGTTCAGTCTGAAATTGAAGATGAAGGATTCCAAAACATGATTTTGAGAAAAGGGTGTCAAGAATTAGGATATCCAGTGGAAACAATCCCTACAAACGCGCCCTCGGATCATTATTGTGGATGGTGCAGCATGGGTTGCAAAGATGGGAAGAAAAAAGGAACAGCTGAGACATGGCTAGTCGATTTGGTGAAATCGGGAAATGGTGCAATACTTCCTGAATGTGAAGCATTGGAAGTGATCCATGAAGAAAAGAATGACAATTCAGGAAAAAGAAAAGCTATTGGAGTTGCTTTTGCATTTCAAAATATTGAAGGGATGAGAGAAATTTGTATGGTGAAATCAAAAGTCACAATAGTAGCTTGTGGTGCTCTTAGCACTCCTTCATTGCTCAAGAGGAGTGGCTTAAAGAATCCAAATATTGGCAGAAACTTACACCTACATCCAGTCGTCATCGCTTGGGGATACTTTCCAGATTCACCATCAACATCTAATGAAATATGGCCAAAAGCAGAGAAGAAAAGTTATGAAGGAGGGATAATGACAGCCATGTCTAAAGTCGTGGCGAATTTTGAAGGATCAGGATATGGTGCAGTCATACAGACACCAGGATTGCACCCTGGAATGTTTTCAGCACTAATGCCATGGGTTTCAGGACTAGATTTCAAGATGAGGATGAGCAAATATTCAAGAACAGCGTATATCTTCGCGTTGGCAAGGGACAAGGGATCAGGGGAAGCACTTTCACCATATTCAATATCTTACAAGTTGGATCAAACTGACGAAGAAAATCTAAAAGCAGGCCTAGAGAAGACACTAAGAATCTTGGCAGCTGCTGGTGCAGAAGAGATTGGAACTCAACAAGAAAAAGGGAGGAGTTTGAAGGTGAACGAAGCAAGTTTGAAGGAGTTTGAGAGGTTTGTGAAAGAAGAAAGTTCAATAGAAATTGGAAAACATTCAGTTCCTATATGTTCAGCACATCAAATGGGAAGTTGTAGAATGGGAGTTGATCCAAAAACTTCAGTGGTTAATTCTAAAGGAGAAACATGGGAAGTAGAAGGTTTATTTCTTGGTGATTCAAGTGTGTGTCCAACAGCAATTGGAGTGAATCCAATGGTCACAATTCAGGCCATTTCTTATTGCACTGCACAATCTGTGCTCCAACTTCTCAAGAATCAAAAGTTGGGGTGAAAATGTTGTTTATGTTTATTTAAGTTTGTTTAATATCTCTACCTTCAACTTATGAGTAGATGTTGAACTCCCTTCGGCTAGTTCAACATCAACTCTCCTACTTTGGCACGAGTAGTTTTAGAATAATCATGAACCACTGTAATTGGAGAATCTTTCTCTAAAAATAATTTTTTTTTAGAACATTCTTTCTGTTACCCCTTGTGTCTAATTCTTTTTCTAATATGATAACTGTAATGAAAAATCTACCTTTTAAGTTCTTGAACATAATTTCTAGTATCATGATTTAAAACATAATAAGCCATGAAAATAAATTTTAAAAATTCTGGGTAAAACACTAAGAATATGAGAATTCATGATTAGCTAAACATTTATAAACTTTCATAGATAATGCCTGCTTGCTCGATTTAATCGAAACACTCATTAATTGTTCCAATACATTTCTACAAACACCTTAAAAGGCATGTTAATTAGTGAGGAAAGAACTTTAGTAAAGACGTATACGTAACTCACCTCAATATATATCTTCTCCCAAGAAAACATATGCTTCAACAATCGTTTAAATACTTGAAATCTACATCGACTTTAATCACATGACATTGTTATGAATGGGCCTAGACCAGTATTGGCAAAGCAGCCGAACACCGGATTAAGTGGCTATGTGTGGGATCCGGATTGATAAATAGAGACTTGTGAGAGCAAAATAGGTTTATGCGTATTATGATCATGCTTATGCAAAGTCTGTATCTCTCATCCTGCTTTCTCTAAGTCTGGTTCCTCGTCTCCTTCTTCAGTCGATCCTAATTCTTACTTTCAATATTTCTGTATTTCTGTTTGGGCTTTTGCCTTTTGAGTTGTTGCATTTAGTTGGTGGAATTGTAATTGATCTTTAGCCTAACTAATATAGTTGAGAAACGAGTTGGAGTTATTGTTGGATTTGAGTTCATTACAGACATCGACAACAAGGATTGTTTTCGAGAACTGAATCTTAATTATTCAGATCTTAATCATAAAGTCTGTTTGCTATTCTTATTTTACAATCACTTAATGAGTTTGATTAAGATCTATAACAAAGTTTTTATTTCATTAAGATGTATATTTTAATTTTTTTATAAATATGACAGTTTACCGCTACTCTATCCACTTTCACCCACCACCCATAACCACCATTTTAGTGATAACTATCATCACCGTCAATTACCACCACCTACCATCCACAACTATCATTCTCAGCCCAACCACAACCACCACCAATGACAATCACCAAAATTAATAGTCATCATCATTAGCCATTATTTACAAATATCACCACCAACTATTATTAAATTCACCATCGATAATTATCACCATTGTCATTATTATATATTGTTAATTACAATCATCATTCACTACCGTCATTAGGTATCAATATCATTCCACTACTAATTATATCTTGTCACCACCAACAGCTACGGTTAATCACTATGTCAACAATTATACAATAAGGTACTGCCCATAACCACCATCATCGATAAACACACAATCACCATCGTTAGTTATCACCATCACCAATTGTCAAATGAAGATTTTAAAATGTCTATTAATTTAGTATTTTATATTTATTATTTTTAAACAAGGACATATTTCCTCAATTTCAAATATTGTAAAGACATATGTAGATCTTTTCGGTAAAATAATTAATGTATGTACCGAACTAATCTATATGACAATATTTCAATTATGCCAACTTGAAAGAAAGAAGTTTTTGTAGCCAATCTAATGATATTTGATAGATAACGAATACAACGAACATAAGCCAATCGAATGCTATCGTGTTTCTTGTTTAGTCCATTCAAAATTAATTCCATTTTTTCTTATTTAATTAAAACCCACTCCTTCAAGTACAAATTTAGAAATGTTTGGCTTGTGCATTAAATAACATTAATTAAAACAATGTAGTATTAGGTTCGTATTCCGGTATCACAGGAAAAAATGTTAAATTTGTGACACTTTCCTCTAACCAATTGGACTCCCTTACTTCTATTTGTGACACTTTGTTACCTTCAATTCATGACACTAATTCCTATGATGATCATCATCATCAAGAAGACAATAATATTGATGATGATTCTTTCATTAACGGGAAAATACATAAAAATCCCCCTGAACTTGGTCGAATAACTTACTTTAATACTTAAACTACACGGGCGTTTAAATACCCCCCTTAACATCTTTGAAGTGATTTTTTTTCCACCCTAAGACTATAACACCACTCTCACCCGCCACATCATAGCCACGTTTGCGCCACATCATAACCATGTAAGCACCATGTCATTAATTTTTATTTCTTTTTTACTTATTCACTATTTTTTCTTAAACACTTTTGAAAATTAATTATATCAATTGATTAATTTATAAATGCATACCCCACACCTCTCTTTCTTCTTCCTTGTTGTTCACCATTATTCCAACCTTCCATACTTTCTTTTCTTCTTCTTCACTATTCAACAATTTTTAAGTCACTTTAAAGAAGAAAATTCACTAATATTCACATTATCTTCTTTGAACCCTCCCAACAAATTTACCCACTTGGAGAATGGATTTTTTGAAAGCCAATATTTTCTTGACAACTCAAATAAGAAATGAAGATTGCATAAGAAAGTTAGTCCAAAAAAATATAAATTTTATGAGAAATCTTTGAATGGATCTAGAAATCAAAATGGGTCATTCAAA